TGGAGCCCCGCAAGCCTGGGGTCCGGGGCAGCCACACCAAACTGCCCGATGGACGGGCCGGCTCTCCCAGCAGTGGCCCAGACCTAGCAGCCAGAAGCCACTCTAGCCCCTCTGTGCTACTGGTGTGGGCAGCAGGGGTTCCCTGGGGTGAGTTAAATCGCCCAGGGGTGGCAAGCAGGGCCAGGGGATGCACGGGGAGAGGGGGGCATGTGGGCCAGCAGGCAGGGCCAGGAGACGGCCTCCTTGTGTTCTCCAGAGAGTGGCCCAGTAGAGGGATTTGAGGACTGGCCGCGCCCTAAGATAAAATGTGTTTGAGACCCCCATGCCAGGGGGAGGTTACTAGGTAGGAGTTAACCCTGCAAATGTTGGCCTGGCAGTTGTTAGAATTGGCTCGCTACTGGAACTCAGTATGCTGGGGGCTACCGCCCCTCTCCCCACAAGCCTGAAGTGGTTTCCAGCCTAACCAGGGTTTACTCTTTGGTCCAAGAGCTCTCCGCACCCCCGCTAGCATCCCTCACACCAGGCAGGTTGGGCTGATGCGGGATGAGGCATCCCTTCCTGTTGTGAGCGGCAGCCCAGCTGTGGCATTTCCCCTCAGCGTGACAGCGCTAGGTGGGGCAATTCCTCTCGGGGGGGGGGGTAAAGTGCTCTGTGAGGTTTCAGGAAGGAGAGGCACAAGAGGAACATCAAACCCATGATTCATTAATGAGTTGTCAATTATTAATACTCAGACATTTCCCTCAGTCTCTGATTGGCCCCGTTCCCACTATTGTAATGATGCTTCACTCTCCCGGCTTAGAGTATTCCACTGCGTTTGCAAAGTGAACCCAGCTCTTCCATGTCGGATTGGTTCTGTTTCCCCAGCTCTCGTCATGGTGCCTTTTTTTAACCATTTATTTTTCTTAAGCCTCTCACTGGAGCTTAAAGCCAGATTAAGGCTCACCCTAATACAGATCAGAGAGAGGGCTGGGACTCCCCCCCCCCCCCCCGTTTGGGGCTCTCTCATTGACTGCAGGAGAAGGCCTAGGGAGTCAAACCCTGACTGTTTTGTGCTTTGCCAGAGCCCGATCTCACAATCTGTCTCTTCCTTGCAGCCAAACTGGATCCCCCTGTCCTAAAGAGCGTCCAGTCAGTCCCTTTCCAGACCAACTGCGTCTCCGTGGCCTGGGAGGTGGCTCACACCAGCTCCCATATAGAGCAGCAATGTGAGCTCCGCTACTGGACCCCAGGGGACCCTGGATGGACTCTGGTGAGTGACACTGGCGCCAGGGAAGGGGGACTGAGCTGTGTCCCTGGACGGACATGTAGTCTAGTGGCCAGGTCTCCCGGGATCTGTCCCTGCCTCAGTTTCTACGCTGTCGGCCCCTCAGTTTCCCCATCTGTGAATTGGGAGATTCCAGCTGCTTTTCCACCCAGCGCCTTAGGGGAGAGAAGAGTGTCATTGGCTTCTTTCTCCTGTTTGCAAGGAGGAGAGGAAACCTCTCCTGTCCCTCTCAAGCCCCCACTCCCGAACTGTGCCAGCTGCTCTTCGATCGTAACCCTCCAGCCCCTGCCCCTCAGGCGCCGTACAGGTAGTGCAGAGGTTTACTCTGTGCCCTCAGTCCCATCAAACCCCTTCCCCTGCATTCGCATCTGGTTCGCCACACACTCAGGGCCCACTGCTGCTGGGGCAGGGAAGAGGGCAGCTTGCTGGCCTCAAGGCTGGATCTCCAAGTGCATGGCACCCCCTCGAAGGGGTCAAATAGCAACCTCACCACCCTCAGTGTCTCCCACTGTGACACTGACCAGATTTTCCAGAGCTCATGACCAGCATCCTGGGCTCTTTGAACCATCGGGCCAGTTGCCTAGATCAGTGTTTCTTAAACCTTTTAAGACAGAGGAACACCAAACAATAATATTTTTTATGAGGAACACCAAGGATTTTTTGTTGAGGGGGGAAAAAAAGGCTGGGGGCTCCCCAGCAGCACTTTCAGGCACCAATTCACCCCACGTCTGAAGGTGGGATGGCTTCCCCTTTGCCTGCACTGGACCCATCTGCTGGCAACAATGGAGTTTGCCCTCCGTGGCTCACACTGCACGTGTGACTCTTCTTTCTGGCCTGTCTCCAGTGGGTTCTGCAGCTTTTTCCACAAGAGGGTGTCACAGAGTGTGGGGGAGACACCAGGCCCTCCCCTCCTCCCCACACACACAGATGTCACCCTCAGCCAGCACGTAGATCAGAAGATGTATTGGTTCACAGGGGAACAGTGTAGCACAGACGTGTTGTTAACACAGGAACCAGAAGCAGCCAGTACAATCCAGCTTGGGGAGAGGGGGGCCTTGGACCCCCTCCCTGCATCCTAAGCCAGCTGAGAGGACTCAGACACTCAGCAAGCAGTCCCTGCCATGCAGGCCACCCCGCCTCCTCCTTTGTCTAGCTTCAAAAGGTGTCACCTAGACTCAGGTTACAAAACAGCCTGCGCGATCGTTAAACTTAAAAAACAACGAATGGTCTGGTAGCACTTTATAGACGAACAAAAAACAGGTCGATGGTATCATGAGCTTTCGTGGGCACAGGAAGGGGGGGACAGGAGCCGGTGCTGGGGGGAGCCTGCTTAAAAGCCGGTTCCCCTCAGCACTGTCTCCAGAGTGCCACCTGCTCTCCTCCCCCCGCTGCTTCTATAAGGGAGGGATAGGGGACACTGCTGCGAAGCAGCCCCTGTCCAGAGGGATCCCAGTGGCTAGGGCTGTCCTCCGCAAACAGGGGCTGCTGGACCCAGTGGGAGCCGGGACCAAGCAGTCCCGGCTTGCGCTGATCGCTGCACCTCTTCCTACATTTACAATGCAGCGCCAGGACTGCTCAGTCCCGGCTCGAGTCGGCGCCTCTGGAGCTATCCCCGCTGCGGCTCTGCAGAGGCCTTATCGACGAACCGTACAGTCGATACAAACTGTATCGACGATACGAGTCGCCCAATAATCGCATTTTAACATCCTCAAACCACATACGACATAACAAAGCAAACAGAGGGAACGCTATGTCACAGGGGGTGAAAAGCTTTTCCTGGGAAGGAGCCAGAGAGGAATAGGGTCAGCTTCCCCCGGGCCTGGCCCCTCATGCCTCAGTTACTGCCTCATACTGCTGCCCCGGCAGACCGGGCTGCCAGGGGCTACCCCAGGGAGCATTGCACGCCCACTTCGGAGCACTTTGCCCTGGGGTGGTCCACGCATGGGGCGCAGGCCAGGGGAGGAGCGGGGCCTTGATCCCACCAGGTCTGAGTAAGAGCCCAGCTGGGGTTGCCTCTGAGAGACGTGGCTTTGCTTTTCTACCAGGTCCCCGACATCGTCAGCCCCAATCTGAAGACCCAGCACTGCGGCTTCCTCTTTGGGGCGGAGTATCACTTCCAGATGCGCTGCAGGCGGATCACAGGGATGGGCTACTGGAGCGAGTGGAGCCAGCGGTGGAACTTCACCACCCACGAGAAAGGTGGGTCCTGGCCGGGGGATCGGCCGTGCCCGGGTACCACCACACAGCCAGGGTCGGATTGGCTCAGGCTCAGGGCCTGACTGAGGGCCCTTCCCACACCTGGCCCCTCTCACTGCTGCCCCCCAAACACCCACTGGGCAGCCCCAGCAGAGAGACCACAGGCCGAGCCTGAGGGCTGTGACCCCACATTGGGATCCCACCGTGAACTCGGGCCTGTGGCTTTGCTGAGTGACCGGGGCAGGATGGGAGGGCAAAGCAATGCACACAGAGCTTGGGGACGCAGCACCAGGCAGGGCAAAGGGAAAGGCCCAGGGCCATATCGGCATTTGCAGCCGTTCTCGAAGGCCTCGTAAAGGACAGCTGGGAAGCAGGATGAAAGAGACCCCTTCTCTTCCCCCTCCTCTTTTATCCCTAGCTCCTGTGGGGAAGCTCGACGTTTGGTGGAAGACGACGCCCGTGGACTCTGGGAAGAGAGCAGAGGTTCAGCTGCTGTGGAAGGTAACACTGGCCCTGACCCCAGAAGCAGAATGCACATGTGGCTCGTTGTACGAAGGCTCCCAGACGTGGCTTGTCCGAGGGAGAAGAGACACGTGGGCATTCATCACAGGACACGCTGAGATTACCACAGCCCCCTTATCTGACACCCTATCGGTGTCCTGCCTCATGCTTCCCTTCCCTGCCACTGAGATTTCTATAGGATCCCCCTACCTAGGAGCTAAGCGCTGAGCAGCGGAAATCACCCCTGCATGGGGCTTTCCCCAGCAGGATCTGGTCTCAGGCCAGGGGCCCTGTACCAACCCGGTCGCTGTTCTCCCCTCTGTAGGCTCCGAAGCGGAACGAGACAAACGGCAGGATCCTGGGGTACTGGGTCTCCCTGAATCCCAGGCGGAGGAATGGGGCACTCACAGCCATTTGCAACACGACCGACATGCAGTGCAATTTCTCGGTGCCGGCTGGGGTCAGGAGAGTTTATCTCTCCGCCTATAACTCAGCAGGCGAGTCTGCCACCACAGAAGTCCTCTTCCTTGAGCAGAAAGGTAGGCGCGCGCTAGACCTCCTTCTCTAGGCTATGGAGCAGGGGTGGGCAATCATTTTTTGCCGGGGGGCCACACAGGAAGGGGCGGAGCATCAAGCAGAGGGGGCGGGGCCAATATACTTCCAGGTTCCCCACCCCCAGACAATGATAGCCTTTGCCCCCCTCCATGTTTCCCCTAGGTGCTCATACCCCTGGCGTGGGAGGAGACTTCCTGCACTCCCCTGCCCCAAGCCAATTAGGGCCTGGGGGTGGGGGAGCGTGCAAAACCTCCTCCGCTCTGCCTCCACCTTGCAAGCAGCGCGTGGCACTTAAAAGCCCCACGTGCTCCTGGCCTAATTGGCCTGTGGGGGGGAGCAGCAGGGCCTCCACGGGACAGATCCACCCGCTTGGCAGGCCGGATCCGGCCCGTGGAGGGCCTTTTGCCCACCCCTGCTCTGGAGAGTGACCAGCTGGTGTGAAGCAGCGGAGGAGCCAATGGAGTGACACTAGTTTTCATCAGCAGAGGAGCTGGACTGTCACTTATGAACCATCCTTTGGAACTGCAAGAGAGCAGAGAATGGCCAGTCCTGTGCGCTGAGCAAGGGGACCATGTGAAACCCCAGCCCAGGCCAAACATCCTGATGTTCCCGTGGCGGCTTGGCTCTCGGGCTCCGTACCGTCTTGGCTAGCCAAGGAGGCTGCAGAAGGGGCCATGGCCACTCAAAGCGCAGTATCTCCAGTTCTGGTGCCCGTCCCCCCCTATCCCCTGGGCCTCCCCCATGTCCAGCGCACAGCTTGTCTCACCTCTCCTGCCTCCGGGGCCTGGGGCGGTCTGGGCCTGATGGTGTTCCTCCGTGCTGTGTGCAGGTCAGCCTGTGGCCAGGATCCACGCGTCGCCCTGTGATGAGCACAGCCTCTGGGTGCAGTGGGAGGCGCCCAAAGCCGCAGCCACTGGGTACATAGTTGAGTGGCACCAAACATCCCTGCCGGGGCCAGCCGGCCGCAGCGTGAGCTGGCAGCTGCAGCGGAACAGGAGTGCCACCAAGGCACTGCTCCGAGGTAGAGCGCGAAGGGGCAGGGTTTGGGCAGGAGCTTGGGAGGCTGGGGCAGCAAAAGGAGGGTTTTCTGCTCCAAGATGAGTCCACAGATTGGCGGCTGGACACCTGCCAAGAGAAAAGGGCAGATCTCTGCCTAGGCTGACAGAGGGCAGCATTGCTGGGTGTGTCTTCTGCCTCTCCATGTTCTGAGCTGTCCCTGGATTTTTCAGGGCTCTGTATCCATCTCAGGACACCCCATCTCTGCCCTGTATCCATCTCAGGACACCCCATCTCTGCCCTGTATCCATCTCAGGACACCCCATCTCTGCCCTGTATCCATCTCAGGACACCCCATCTCTGCCCTGTATCCATCTCAGGACACCCCATCTCTGCCCTGTATCCATCTCAGGACACCCCATCTCTGCCCTGTATCCATCTCAGGACACCCCATCTCTGCCCTGTATCCATCTCAGGACACCCCATCTCTGCCCTGCCACACCCCCGCATTGGGACATCTATCTCATGATCCCCCATCTCTGTGCTATATCCATCCCACAAACCCCACATTGCTGCTGGGAATCCATCCTACCAGACACACACATGCCATCTCTGCTCTGTCCATTCTGCAATCCATCCTTCCATTGTCCATGTGCATTCCAAGCTCTGCTTTCGTGAACGTAAGGCCAGTAACTGTGCCACTTAACCCCTGGGATCCTGCCTCATGGACTAGCTCCATGCTGAGACACAGACATTTGGTACGTCAGCTGGCCGGCTATGTCGGATTGACTAGAAATGCAAGGGAGGTTGGCAGTGCAGAGGGGGTCCTGGCTGTTTCAGATGACAGAGTAAAGGATTCTCAGTACTTGTAGTCACACTGATTCTATCACCTCCTCTTGTTTTCCCTTCCAGAAAACATTGAGCCTTTCCAGCGGTACAATATCTCTGTGTACCCCCTGTATGCGGACACAGTGGGGCTGCCCCTGCACACAGCAGCATATTCCAAAGAGAAGGGTATGTGTTTCTGTAGCATCTCTCACCTGGAATGACCCCAGACTGCTTCACCAATTAGGTCCAGGCAGCATGACTGAAATGCAGCTATCTCTGGGGCGGTGCTTGGCAGCCCAGCTGTACACGGGATGGAGATGCTGAAAGTTCAGTCCCGGGCAGTGGGCCAAGCCCCTGTTCTGATGAAAAATGTCTCCTGGATTCTGTGGAATCTGGCAGAAGAGAGAGTTCACTCTGCAGAATGATCTTCTGCAAGAGATCTTCATGCGAGAGCCACAAGACGGGGTGCAAATCAGTGTAACCCCAGTGTGGTCAGCTGGAACTGCACAGACCTGCACCCACGGAGGAGCTGGCCACTGCTCACTGGGTGTTCAGTGGCAGAGGGGCGCAGGCCCCGGGCTCCTCGACCTGCAAGCAGTCAGAAGTGTCACGAATATCTGCTCTTCTCCACGGCTCTTTGGGGGCCCTATTGGAATCTGCACTGCAGTGCCCTTGGCTGCTTTTTTGTATCTTTTGTGTTCTTCTCCCACTTCAGCTCCATCGTGCGCCCCTAAACTCCACCTAATGAGCGTCAGCAAGTCCCACGCCGAGCTCCACTGGGACCCCATTCCCGTGGCGATGCAGAATGGTTTCATCACCAACTACACCATCTTCTGGGCAAGCACCACCAGGGATGAGCTCCGTAAGTCCTGCCTGTGTCCCTGCCTCCGCGGCACAGCACCTCAGCGCTTGTCCACCTGCCCAGTACTTTGCAGCACCCTGTTGTCTGTGGGCTGGATGGAGAACAATGCTCGCCCCAGCACAAGGGCCTGTCAGCAGCAAGGAAGCTTAAGGCAGGAGCCAGGATGCTGGAGGACCTCATTATAAATGTGGCCTTTTCTGACACCTTTTCCTGGGCGGCAGGTGAACCTAGCACTGGGGGGAACAAGCCAAGGCTGGGGCTGAATCGCACGGAAGGGGGTCAGGCACTGGGGGCAGAGTGTGAGTGGGGCCAGGCTGGCAGTTTGGGAAGGCATTGCCTTTTCCTGCCTCTTATACATAAGAACATACCCACCCCCTATGCACCTCTGGATACAGGTTTGTGATGAAATGGGTGGGGATCTTTCTAGGACACGTTCTGTCTGATGACAGGGCTGGGTGGGTCTGGGACACATTAGAATTGATCTCTATTGTGTTTATTTACCCAGAAGCAGCATGACAGGCCTTTAAAACAAAGCCCTCTGAAATATGGATTTAAAGGGAACAAACAGCAGGGGGAGGGGTAGAGAAGGGCTATTTCTGTGGTGGGCGCAGACTGCAGGTATATGGTAGCCCTCGAGACTGCTAAGAGCTTGCTTGTGACAGGTGTGCAGGTTGTGTTTGTCAGCCCCAAGTGATCAGGCACAACGTGGGAATCCCTGCCGGAGGGTCTCTCACCCTAAGTTGCAAAGGTCAGATCAGAGTATTATAATGTGCTGTCTCTTGTGGCTTTAAAATCTATGCAGCCAGATCCTCAGCTGGTGTAATTCAGTGTCACCCCCACTGACTTCTCAGGATATGGTCCTGTGAAACTACATCTTCCGCTCTACTCTGCGCTGGTTAGGCCTCAGTTGGAGTATTGAGTACAGGTCTGGGCACCACATTTCAAGAAAAATGAGGAGAAATTGGAGAGGGTCCAGAGAAGTGCAACAAGAATGATTAAAGGTCTAGAGAACATGACCTATGAAGGAAGGCTGAAAGAACTGGGTTTGTTTAGTTTAGAAAAGAGAAGACTGAGGGGGGACATAGAGTCGTTTTCAGGTATCTAAAAGGGTGTCATAAGGAGAAGGGAGAAAACTTGTTCATCTTGGCCTCTGAGAATAGAACAAGAAGCAATGGGCTTAAACTGCAGCAAGGGAGGCTTAGGTTGGACATTAGGAAAAAGTTTCTAACTGTCAGGATGGTTAAACACTGGAATAAATTGCCCAGGGAGGTTGTGGAATCCCCATCTCTGAAGATATTTAAGAGTGGGGGTATGTCTACACTACCCCGCTAGTTCGAACTAGCGGGGTAATGTATGCATACCGCACTTGCTAATGAAGCCCGGGATTTGAATTTCCCGGGCTTCATTAGCATAAGCGGGGAGCCACCATTTTTAAATCCCCGCTGCTTCGAACCCCGTGTAGCGCGGCTACACGGGGCTCGAACTAGGTAGTTCGGACTAGGGTCCTATTCCGAACTACCGTTACTCCTCGTGAAACGAGGTGTACCGG